AGAAGCAGGAAGGACAGGTGAGAGCATTGCCTCTTGGCTTCACTCACCTTGCCAGTGATGGATAGATTAAACGTACATCCTGCCTTCCTTCCAAGCTGGCACTCATGTGACGGAGAAGCTGGACTCTGCTCCCTCGGCCTCTTTTCCCCCCTGCTCTGCCCCTCCTGCTCTCACCTCCATGTCCACTGTGAGCTCAGTTGCTGCTCTACTCAAATTTGATGACCCTGATTTTTCTCCATACTACTGGAATTTTCTGTGCTCTTCTAGGCCCAATATGACTGCATTGAGGTCCACCCTGATGTCCCTGAATCTGAGAAACCTGCACCAGGCACCACCCAGATCCTCCAGCAGAAGGAACCCGAGCAGGAAGGAGATGGGGCTGCAGCCTTGGAGGGTAAGAAGGAACCCTTTGGGGTGTTTGGCTGTTTTATGCCAGTGTAACATCCCCTTCAGGGGATTGTAACAAATGCACAATCCGCTTGAGCTAGAGAAGGCATACATGTAGGATCATTTGGCCTTGAGATGAGTATATAGGGAAGCATTTGGTTACAAAAGGTGTAATTTCAGTGTGATTTGGAGTATTCTGTATAGTTCTACTTCTACATTTGCATACTGATGGGTGGGACTGAAATATTAGCCATACAGTATGTTCCCGGGTGAAACCCGAAGCTAAGATGAGCCCTGGAACTGAGCTGGAAGACAAACAGACAACCAAGAATAACTTTAGTCCATTGAACTACCAAGCCCATTACTTGTTTCAGTCCCACCTATTCACAGCACTGCATGAGAAGAAAATCTGCTAGACTCCAAAACTTTACAATTCCTGGGCTGGAGGATACGTCTGTCTTCATAGGTTTCTTTTCAGGACTGTAATTGTCACCTCTGAGACATGAGTATGTGATCAGTTTTCCACACCTTGCTCTCTCTCTCTCCCAGAGGCTGGAATGATGCTGTTGCCGAATCCTCAGTCGATTCTTCCCCTTTGTGATGGAGTGGAACTGAATCAGGTAAGCAGAAGGATTCCTGGGAGAGGAGGAAGGGAACTGTCTGTGGGTCATTTGTTGCAAGCTCAATCACCAAACATCTTTTGAAACAGAACCATTTCAAAAGATTCTTGAAATTATTATTCTTAATTTCCCTTATTTTCCTTTTTCCACCAGGGCCCAATCGCCTTTGAGGACGTGGCTGTCCATTTCTCTTTGGAGGAGTGGGCTCTCCTGAATCCTGGTCAGAAAGCCTTGCACGAGCAGATCATGGAGGAGATTCATGGGATGGTGGACTCTCTTGGTAAGGATCACCCATTGTTGGGAACGTCTATTTCAAAATGCAGGATCCCAGTCAGCAGCTCTCTGGTGGAAGTAATTCCACCAGAGAGCTGATTGTCAATGCCTCCCTGAGTCAAGGACACGTGCCATCTTGCCTGAAACAGACCATAGTGAGACCAGTACTGAAGAAGGCTTCCTTTGACTCAACAGTTTTGAATCACTACCGACCAATCTCCAATCTTCTGTTCTTGGGCAAGGTTCTAGAGCGGGTGGTCGCTACTCAGCTCCAGGGATTCTTGGACCATACTGATTATCTGGACCCATTTCAGTCTGGCTTCAGGCCTGGTCACGGTAGCGAGACGGCTTTGGTCGCCTTGGTGGATGATCTCCGCAGAGAGCTTGACAGGGGGAGTGTGTCCTTGTTGGTTCTCTTGGGACATCTCAGCGGCTTTCGATACCATCGACCATAGTATCCTTCTGGGACGAATCTCGGGAATGGGTCTTGGGGGCACTGCACTCCAGTGGCTCCGTTCCTTCCTTGAGGGCCGTACCCAGTCCGTGGAGCTGGGGCCACTTGCTCGGACCCCTGGCCATTGACCTGTGGGGTCCCACAAGGTTCCATTCTTTTCTCCATGCTATTCAATATCTCACTGGGTTTCAACTGGAGTTTCACAGACGGCTGTGATGGGCTGGATGAGGGCTAACAAGCTGAAGCTTAATCCTGACAAAACAGAGGTCCTCCTGGCCAGTCATGGGACTGATCGGGGCATAGGGTGGCTACCTGTGCTTGATGGGGGTCACACTCCCTCTGACGACACAGGTCCGCCGCTTGGGGGTCCTTCTGGACTCCACTTTGACACTTGATGCTCAGGCGTCGGGGGTGGCTGGAAGGGCCTTTGCACAGTTATGTGAGCATTTGAATGTGAAGGGAAAAGTCATCAATTTCCCCCAGAAAGAAGGAGACAAAATAAAAACCAGGCTGGGCTGAGAAACAGGTAGCCTCTGGAGCATATGTTGCTCACCTCTCCCTCAGAGGCTCCAGCCGGCCAAAGAGTGTCCATTTTTACTGAACAAGGGGTGTGGAGGGGGCGTCATTTATATCTTCTTTTCTTCCATAACCATCATTTCAATCACTTTCTTATATTATTTCCCTAAAGTCCTTATCACACACACTGAAGAATGATTATTTCTGTCCTCCTTCACAGCAGATAAGTGGAACACCAAACACAGGAAACATTTGCGACACAATGTGGGACTTCCTAGACACCAGCAAGGCCACAGAGAAGATGGAGGTTCTGCCAGAGAAAGGCCCTACAAATGCAATGTATGTGGGCAGTGTTTTACCCAAAATATGGGACTTATACTTCACAAAACACTCAGCGCTGGGAAAAGCCATTGTAAATGGAAAGTATCATCAAAATGTATTGCTGATTACAAACTGCCAGATTTGAGCCAAGAAGAAATCTTTGAAGGAACTGAATATCTCTTAAGCCAGGAGTGTGGGAAATCTGTTATCCAGAGTTCACACTCTGTGAGCCACAAAAGAGTCCACACAGGAGAGAAGCCGTACCAATGCCAAGAGTGTGGGAAATGTTTTGCTTACAGTTCAGCTTTGGTGGACCACAAAAGACTCCACACAGGAGAGAAGCCATACCAATGCCAGGAGTGTGGGAAATGTTTTGCTGTGCGTTCAGCCTTGGTGAGCCACAAAAGACTCCACACAGGAGAAAAGCAATACCAATGCCAGGAGTGTGGGAAATCTTTTGCTGTGAGTTCTGACTTACTGAGCCACAAAAAACTACACACAGGAGAGACGCCATACCAATGCCAGGAGTGTGGTAAATGTTTTGTTTACAGGTCACACTTCGTGAGGCACAAAAGAGTCCACACAGGAGAGAAGCCATACCAATGCCAGGAGTGTGGGAAATGTTTTGCTTACAGTTCAGCCTTGGTGAGCCACAAAAGACTCCACACAGGAGAGAAGCCATACCAATGCCAGGAGTGTGGGAAATGTTTTGCTTACAGTTCAGACTTGGTGAAACACAAAAGACTCCACACAGGAGAGAAGCCGTACCAATGCCAGGAGTGTGGGAAATGTTTTCTTTACAGGTCACACTTGGTGGGGCACAAAGGAGTCCACACAGGAGAGAAGCCATACCAATGCCAGGAGTGTGGGAAATGTTTTGCTTACAGTTCAGACATGGTGAAACACAAAAGGCTCCACACAGGAGAGACGCCATACCAATGCCAGGGGTGTGGTAAATGTTTTCTTTACAGGTCATACTTGGTGAGGCACAAAAGACTCCACACAGGAGAGAAGCCATACCAATGCCAGGAGTGTGGGAAATCTTTTGCTGTGAGTTCAGACTTAGGGATCCACAAAAAACTCCACACAGGAGAGACGCCATACCAATGCCAGGAGTGTGGTAAATGTTTTCTTTACAGGTCACACTTGGTGAGGCACAAAAGAGTCCACACAGGAGAGAAGTCATACCAATGCCAGGAGTGTGGGAAATGTTTTGCTGAGAGTTTACATTTGGTTTGTCACAAACAACTCCACAAAGGAGAAAAGCAATACCAATGCCAGGAGTGTGGGAAATGTTTTGCATGCAGTTCAACATTGGTGAAGCACAGAAGACTCCACACTGGAGAGAAGCCATACCATTGCCAGGAGTGTGGGAAATGTTTTGCTTACAGTTCAGCCTTGGTGAGGCACAAAAGAGTCCACACAGGAGAGAAGCCATACCAATGCCAGGAGTGTGGGAAATGTTTTGCTTACAGTTCAGACTTGGTGAGGCACAAAAGACTCCACACAGGAGAGAAGCCATACCAATGCCAGGAGTGTGGGAAATGTTTTGCTTACAGTTCAGTGCCTTGGTGTGCCACAAAAGACTCCACACAGGAGAAAAGCCATACCAATGCCAGGAGTGTGGGAAATGTTTTGCTTACAGTTCAGACTTAGTGGGCCACAAAAAACTACACACAGGAGAGACGTCATACCAATGCCAGGAGTGTGGGAAATGTTTTGTTTACAGTTCACACTTGGTGAGCCACAAAAGAGTCCACACAGGAGAGAAGCCATACCAATGCCAGGAGTGTGGGAAATGTTTTGCTGTGAATTCTTCCTTGGTGAGCCACAAACGTGTCCACACAGGAGAGAAGCCTTACCAATGCCAGGAGTGTGGGAAATGTTTTGCTTACAGTTTAGCCTTGGTGAAGCACAAAAGAGTCCACACAGGAGAGAAGCCATACCAATGCCAGGATTGTGGGCAATGTTTTGCTTACAGTTCAGCCTTGGTGAAGCACAAAAGACTCCACACAGGAGAGAATCCATAGCAATGCCAGGAGTGTGGGAAATGTTTTGCTGATTGTTCAGCTTTTGTGAGGCACAAAAGTCATCACACTGGAGAGAAACCATATCAGTGCCAGGAGTGTGGGAAGTGTTTTCCTTGGAAGTCATTAGTTCTGAAACACCAGAGCATCCATACAAGAAAGAAACTGTACAAATACCTGGATTGTGGACAATGTTTTACTCGGAATTCATTTCTTGTAAGCCAACAGAGAACTCATAGAGGAGAAAAAACATACAGATGCCCAGATTGTGGGAAATGCTTTGGTTACAGCTCAGCCTTTGTGAAGCACAAAAAACTTCACACAGGAGAGAAGCCATACCAATGCCAGGAGTGTGGGAAATGTTTTTGTTGGGGTTCATACTTTTTGAATCATCAGAGACTACATACAGGAGATAAATCATCCAAGGAGTTGGGGAAAAACTAATAAAATGTGTTGCAACAGGGAAATGGTGGGTTCTGGACAATTCTAGTGCTGTAAGCTATACATTAAACATTTCCCAATTAAGACATGTGATTCCCTTGGCTTCAAGCAGGGTATAGCTTGTGACAATCCTTTGGAGGTTTAAAAACGATTCTCAAACCAGTTATTTTAAAAGCACATATTGTATATACTCAAGTATAAGGCGAGTTCTTCAGCCCCTTTTTTAGGGTGAAAAAGCTCCCCTCGGCTTATACTCGGTTGAGGGTCCTGGTGGGAAGGCGTGGGGCTGAAAAAAAGCCCTTCTTTAATTCCCTGCCTTTCCTCACCTCTTGCCACATGCGGGGTGCCTTTCCAGGCAATTACCAACTCTACTGCTCCTTTGATATGTGTTTCCCACCTCACCCCCACATAGTATAAAAGCTGCCTTGGAAAGGTTACTGTGCCTGTGGCGAAAGAAGGAGAAAGGGGGGTGTGCATGCATGTGGCAATAACAGGAAGGGTGGAGCACACCTCCTTCCCCCTCCTATCGCTGTTCATGCGCCCTCCTGCAGGGTTGCTGTGTGGAGAACAGAGAGGGTGCATGCATGGCGAGAGGAAGAGAAAGGGAGGAGCGTGCGCCGTCTCTTTGGGTGGCACATGCCTCCCCCTTCCCTTGCCATGCACGCACCCTCTCTGCTCTCCACACAGCCACTCAGCTGGGTCGTTGTGCGGAGAGCAGAGAGGTTTGTGTGCACGGTGAGAGGAAGAGAAAGGGTTGCGATCAGGAAAAAAGAGAAAGGGAGGCTTGTTCTCCAGACCCTCGATCATTTCCGTCCCCCTTCTCTGGACACATTCCAGTTTCTCGACATCTCCCTTCAGTTGCGGTGCCCAGAATTGGACTCAGTATTGCAGGTGTGGTCGGACCACGGCAGAATAGTTATTCCATGTTATGTGTTCAGGCAAATTGAACATGACTTTGAGGGCAATGAGGCAATGCACCTCTTTTATGAATGTTAAAGGCTTTTTGTTTTATAGCAGTTGCTGTGTGATCAAGGATAGTACTTAAATAAGTCAATCAATATTGAATAAATAATGGCAGCAGACACAATTTCAGATTGAAAACTTCATTGTATTCTAATTCAAGTGAGAAAAAACTAATGGAAGTGCTTGTTCATCAGCTACATTTTTGACTTAGACAATACAACCTCAAGCTTTGCTCATAAAAGGTGGGAATCTATTTCCTGACAATATATGAAACCAACGTAGATAATAGATTGCATTTAAACGAGAAAGGAATGGATGGACAGACAGACAATATCCCTCTAATGGGCTGAAAATGGGGAACTACCATTTGCTATCTTTTTGTTGGCAAGTGAAGATCCTTTTGTTTCCTCAGGCCTTGGGGGTGATTGGACAGGAAAAAAGGCCTTCCATGTTCTGTGTTTTCTATATTTGCTGTTCTTCCTTCCAATGGTCTGTATTTTATTTTATTTTAGTTATATTTTAAACTTTTGCATAATGTAAAAAAAAAACAACACTTTATCTATTGTATCTCCTCTAAACCTGGAGTCCCTGACTTGTAGAAGGGATGAACAATGATTAAGGTAAAGGTTTTCCCCTGAGTCCGACTTTGGGGGTTGGTGCTCAAATCCGCTTCTAAGCCAAAGAGCCGGCATTGTCCGTAGACACCTCCAAGGTCACCTGGCCGGCATGACTGCATGGACCACCCTTACCTTCCCGCCGGAGTGAAACACATCCCTTTTTTGTTCCCTTCTCTGCCTTCATTATTCTCCTCTTTTGCTTTACAGTCACTGTCTTGTATCTTTCCAGCCTTGTCAGGCAAAACCGTAACAATCTCTGCAGCACTACAAAATTAGACATGGGCCCTTCCACGCAGGAGCAGAAAAATCCAACCTTAAGTGACCATGGGAAGAGAGGATTGGAGGTTGGGGAGAGAAATAAAAAAGAGGGAGCGATTGTGAAATGGGTGGTAGCAAGGTAATGTCTTAAGCTCGAAAAAACGGCAAGCATTGGAATGTGAAGGCCAAAGTCATGCATTCTCCCAGAAAGGAGGAGACAGAATAAAAAGCCATTCGTGCCTCTTCGGATTCTGCAGCACTGCTGGTCATAGCTGACCTCCAACTGGAACACCCAAGGGCCAGGGTTTCCCAGTTCTCGGTGTGTATGCCACAGTTTTTGAGGTTGGCTTTCAGCCTATCTTTAATTCTCTTTTGCTGTGTCTCCCACCCAAGTTTCTCCTCCTCCTCCTTGGGAAAAGGGAGCCCTGGGCCTTGACCCCAGGCTGAGACCTCCTTTCTCTGTTGCCGGTGGAGGCTCTGCTCTGCTCCCTGGATGGACGGATTCCCCTTAATGTTCAGTGGGGTTGGGCAGCAAGGGTTTGGCAAGGAGAGATTATATCTAACTAACTAACTATCCTATGAATCTATATAAATAAAAATGTAATGCTAGTTCGTGCTACCATCAGAACTCAACAACCCAGACACTATTTATTTATTTATTTATTTATTTATTTATTTAGAAGTTTTCTATACCGGCCTTCTCACCTCAACGAGGGACTCAGGTCGGTTTACAGCATATAAGAAAGTACAATAATATATAAGTACAACAAAGTGCAAAGTCATTACATATTAAAATAGTACACTAAAGTACAATAAAACATAATCATCACAATTACCTAAGCCAAGTCGTCACAAGACACCTAACAGTCCAATTTATGTCCTCCACTCAGATAAAATTGATTTTGCCATTTGGGAATTGTCGTTGCTGGGATGTAGTTGGGCAGGGAGAGATTATACTTCATACGTTATTATCTTAGAATCTATATAAATAAAAATGTAATCTTAGTTCGTGCTACCATCAGAACTCAAATACCACTGGGGGAATTGACACCAAATTTGGACACAAGACACCTAACAGTCCAATTTATGTCCTCCACTCAAAAAATTGATTTTGTCATTTGGGAATTGTCACTGCTGGGATTTATAGTTTACCAACAATCAAAGAGCATTCTGAACTCCACCAATGATGGAAGTGGGCCAAACTTAGCACACAGGGCTCCCATGACCAACAGAAAAAACTGGAAAGGTTTGGTGGACATTGACCTTGAGTTTGGGAATCACAGCAAGGGTTTGGCAGGGAGAGAATATATATTAACTGTCCTATGAATATGGATTTTTTCCTCCATGACTCAATCTCTGCCTTCATCTTGAGTCCTCTGGTTCCAGGGCTTTGGAGAGAGGCTCTTTCCCACTCCTTAGAGTGTCACAATGGGCAAGGAAGGGTTAAGGGGAGGGAGTGTGGTTCCCAGAGAGGCAGGAAGGAAGTGGGCCTCCTCAGATCCACCTTTCCTATCCCTCTAGGAACCAAACTCCCTCCACTTCACTCTTCCTTGCTTGGCTGGGAGAGAAGAGAAGAGAAGAGAAGAGAAGTGGCCCTCCTTAGACCCACCTTTAGGTATGCACCTACATTATAAAAAAATTAAAAAATTCTGATTCAAAGAAATGGTTTTATTAAGTTTTGGGAAAAGGAAGTTATGCTGCCTCACCCTTTTACTTTTCAAAACATGAAATAGGTTCTTTTATTCCACTTTCAGTCAGACAGGTTGCATTAGGTACTTTCAGAGACAGAATCAGACGCAGACTCCAGTCCTGGGCTTTAGAAGAATTAACCTGGTTACATAGACAAAGGGGGATGTGGCATCGACATTTACACATCTTCTCTAACATTCAGTCCTTCATTCATCATTCATTCATTCCTCAAGCGTTCTTACCATTCTTCTTGTTGAAGATGATCCGCTTCTTGGGATCATGATGGTGTTCAGAAATGGTGTTCAGTCGGTCTGACGTGCACTTTCAGAGAGAGAGAGAGGTGTCCTTTTATGTCGTGTTTTCTGTTGATGTGATTCTGAAGGTGTAAATGGCTGACGGGCAGATCCCATCCGTTCCTGGACAGATGTTGATTTTGTTTAATTGACTTTCCTTATCAAGGAGCCTTGTAAACATTTCTGTAAGGAGCCACAGTGTTGGCTTCCTTACTTAAAAGAACCATTGTCTTTGGCAATGTAAATAAGTTGTTTTTCCAAGAAGAGTCTGTCAAGTCAGCAACGTCAACGGTTAATCATTTGTCGATCAAAGCCGTCTCAGCTTCACCATCTGGGATCGACCCTCCAGGAAGGATCGGAGCCACGACAACCGTGCCCCCGAGACCCATCCCAGAGAGTCATCCCAGAAGGATACCAAAACCCAGCCTGGTTTTTATTTTGTCTCCTTCTTTCTGGGGGAAATTGATGACTTTTCCCTTCACATTCAAATGCTCACCTTTTAACTGTGCAAAGGCCCTCCCAGCCACCCCCAACGCCTGAGCATCAAGTGTCAAAGCGGAGTCCAGAAGGACCCCCAAGCGGCGGACCTGTGTCATCAGAGGGAGTGCGACCCCATCAAGCACAGGTAGCCACCCTATGCCCCGATCAGTCCCATGACTGGCCAGGAGGACCTCTGTTTTGTCAGGATTAAGCTTCAGCTTGTTAGCCCTCATCCGGCCCATCACAGCCGTCTGTGAAACTCCAGTTGAAACCCAGTGAGATATTGAATAGCATGGAAAAAAGAATGGAACCTTGTGGGACCCCACAGGTCAATGGCCAGGGGTCCGAGCAGGTGGCCCCAGCTCCACGGACTGGGTACAGCCCTCAAGGAAGGAACGGAGCCACTGGGGTGCAGTGGCCCCAAGAACCATTCCCGAGATTCGTCCCAGAAGGATACCATGGTCGATGGTATCGAAAGCCGCTGAGATGTCCAAGAGAACCAACAGAGTCACACTCCCCCTGTCCAGCTCTCTACGGAGGTCATCCACCAAGGCGACCAAGGCTGTCTCGGTACCATGACCAGGCCTGAAACCAGACTGTGACTGATCCAGGTAGTTGATGTCATCTAGAAAACCCTGGAGCTGGGAGGCGACCACCCGCTCCAGCACCTTGCCCAGAAATGGGAGGTTGGAGATTGGTCTGTAATTGTTCAGCACCGTGGTCAAGGGAGACCTTTTTGAGGAGTGGATGAACCACAGCCTGTTTTAGTCGGGATGGAAAAACC